CCCTTTTTTTTCTTTTAAAAAGGGAAATGGCCTTGAGGTATCATCATTGAGCTCACCGGCCGCAGGTGGGTAAATCATAAATATTTTGATTGAATCTGGATTCAAACACAGGTCTGTTTTTCTTTTGGGGGGGGGGCTAATGACTAGGCTATCAACCAGGCTGCCCGGGTGGTCACTTTGCTTGCCCAGGCTGCCCGGCCGTGCAAGGACCATAATAGAAGGTCCCAGCCAAAAAATGAAAAAGAGCACTACTCTCCTCCCCTTTCCACCACACTGCCAAGAAAGGAAAAAAAAGAAAAAAAAAAAGAAAAAAGAAAGAAAAAAAAAGAAAGAAAAAAAGAAAAACCGAGTACAAGAATACCCCCCCCTCCCCCCCTTTATGCTTCCTTCCGTCCCATCCAAAGGACCCCTGTGCATCATTGCTTGCGCCAACATGGAGTATTGACTGTCAGATTGCCTATGCCTCGTGTTCCTTTCACTAACAGCCTAAGCTGGGGTAAGAATGTGTCTTAAAGATATATAAGGCCGTAGGTTCGCTAGCTAGAGAAAGATTAATCACAACAATGATACTTGGGGAAACTACGCGGGAGTCGCAAAAACGAGTTATAATTGCAGTATGGGCCAAGATACAGTTTGCAATTGCAGTTCGGCCAATGTATACAACCCAGCTTTCTGGCCAGGTAGGGTGCCCGAACTGCAAATGCCAACTGTGTCTTGGCCCATAGGGAAATTATAAGTTATAACGCAGTTTTGTGACTCCCGTGTAGATACCCCCTGCTTTGGGGTTTTTCTATTTTTTCAAGCATCGCTTTAGTTTCTGGTCCAAGCCCGTCGATTTAGGCTCCTTCCCCTGTCCAGTGCAAGAACAGATAAGGTCCCGGATCCGAGAAACTACCGTCTTCACCTGAATAGAACGCCTGGTAATCATCGCCGTATCTGGGCCAAAAATTGTGCCAAATACAGCTATAATGACCGGGCATTCTATTCGGGTGAAGACGGAAGGGAGTCTCACTGGACGACGACGAGTTGCTGAATTGGCGCGAGAGCCCGACGCTGTTTACGGCAGTCCCTAGGGATTTCTGTTGAAATCGGAATGATACACAGAGAAGATTCGCATGGCCCCTGCGCAAGGATGCCACGCATACATCGAGAAATGGTCCATTCAAAAAAAAAGGAAGAGGGCAGATGCTGTTTACAGCTACTTCATGTGCTTAGCTGTAAACAGCATCTGCCGAGTGAGAGGCTCGTTTGCCTGTTGAGCTGTATAGTACCACTTCTTCCATCTCAACTTGAATGTGTCGTTGACCAAGAATGAAATTTGGTCCCCTATTAAGCCAGCCTCTATGGAAGGCTCTTTTCTTGGCTTCCAACTTCTCCGACCTGAACTTCGCTGAAAGCTTGATTGCCCGCCATCTGCCACGGATTTCAGTTTCCAGCGTCCTTATCACTAAGGGCAATGGCTTGGCCATCTGCACACAGACCATCAAGAAGACAGTTTCCAGCATCCTTCTCGATGGTCTGTGTGCACATCTGCGTTTGCAAATGGTCCAGAGAGTCCGCTTACTCAGTAGGCGGAACTGAATCTCCTTGCTGCGCTTCAGGGTGTGGGGGACGTTAATGAGAAGTAGGATAGTCAGTGGGGTGATGTCGGGGGGCGGTGAGGAGAAGAGGGGGACCCCAAGCTCCTTAACCTTTGCCAGAACCAGGACGTTGAGGGGCAGGAGAGTAGGCAATGTACTAATAGGTCTTCTGGGAAGTTGTTGTCCCACGTTCGGTGGAGGTCTGAGCTACTTGGGTCGGAGTGCTTCCTTCTTTTGTGAAGCCATTGTGTTGACGGGAAGGGCTGTGTATGGTATTAGCCAGTGCATGCTACGGAATTGCGCGGGAGCAGGGGACTGTGGGGTGTAGACTGAGGACCTTTCAATCTCCTGATTAAGCCACCCCGCCCGTACCTTTCCCGTATGTTGCCCGCGGGGCCTGCGCGCCAACAATTCGGGAGGAATCTGGCCGCCGCGCGAGGCCGGCGCCGGCCTACGTGTTAACTGGCGGGCTTTTTCTATTTTTGGCTGGGAACGGTGCTGGCGGTTTAAATCTGGGTTAGGGTCTGTTGTCTTGAGGCCCAGTTCATAGCCAAACTTTGTGTCATATGCCCAAATTGATCTGTTCTTGTGTCCTCCTTGCTTGCGACACCGTTCTTTGCACCATATTGGAGACGTCGTCATATGCAGCTTTACGTCATACTTGGGAATTGGTCGAACTCCCAAGTGTACGACGCTGGCTTCTGGTTTGTTGAAAGATTAGTCAAGGTTGACCAAAGACACTCTAGCCATTTCTCAGCTGGAAAGTCTCGAGGATTTCCTCTTCAGGATGATGGGCAAGATGAGGTGGATGTGGTCAGCTACTTCGCACTTCTTAGCGCAGTCTACGTGGAAGGGGGAAGCGGGGAGGATGCGCAGGTTGCAGAAGACGTCGACAACTTTGACATTGATGATAACGGCCGTATGACTTTTGCCAGCGAGAGGTCGACCCGCAAAATGAGGGCGATTTGGTCAACTACTTACCGCGGTCTACAAGGATCATGGGGGAAGCGGAGAGGATGGGCAGGATGGAGAAGACGCCGTCGGTTTTGTTGGCAGCTGGCATGGATAGGATGATGGGCGAGATGAGGTGGATATGGTTAAACACGTCGCAAATCTTTGCACGGTCTACGTGGATGGGGTGTGGGACGAGGAGCAGGGGTCCATGGCAGCGGCGGTGGTTGACGTGGATGTGGGGCAAGTAAAGGGCAAGGTTGCCGAGAAGGAGGCTCGCAACTACATTAACAACAACACCAACGGTATCAACAACAACAACAGCATCAACAGCAACAACTTTGATGGGAGGGTTGGTGGAGAGGCGGTGGCTGTGGTGGAGGAGAGGCTGGTAATGGGCGAGATTGGTGACAAGGGTGGGGAGGCTGACAACAACAACAACAACAACAACAACAACAACAACAACAACACAGAAGGTGGCAGTGATGGAGGAGAGGCAGGTGATGGGCGAGATCGGTGTGAAGGGTGGGGAGGCTGTCAACAGCAACAACAATACAACAACAGCAACAACAACAGCAACAACAACAGCAACAACAACAACAATGACGGAGGCAACAACAGCGACAATGATGGCGAGCAGGGGATGAGTGTAATGGGCGAGGAGGGTGTGGAACATGACAGCAAAATCTACAACGGCGACAATAACAGCAACAACGACTGCAATATCAACAACAACAAAGGTCACAACAACAACAACAGCAACAACTACAACAACTACAACAACTACAACAACAATCACGACGATGGCGGCGATGAAATCTACGGGAGCAGCGGGGTAGAGAAGGGTTATTGTGCCTCCAAACGCCCTGTCCACATCAAGGGAGAGATGCCACCAACAGCAAAGGGGGAGGGAATTAGGACCTTGTTCGAAGGGGGGTTTGTGGCTGGTGGGATTGTGGCGAAATGGGTGGCGAGAGCGCGAGGGAGGACGACAACAACATCAACAACGACGGCAATAACAAAACTACCATCATTCATTTTTTATTTCTGCCGAAGCTGAGAACTGAGAATTCATCAACACTTTGTTAACCCCCACGAGTGAGCTCCGGCAGTCCGCTCCAATCTATTGGTGGGGGGACCAGCTCGTGCTGGGAAACAGGTCCGGTGTCCCTCATGATACATAAATAAGAAAAAGGCATCACACTCTATTCCCTCCAGGGGGCACCAGAGGGGGGCCCGTCGCTGTATTGGGGGGCAAATGCTAGGGTCAATTCTGGAAATAACAAAGTTGCTACGGGATTCCTGGAGCAGACACGAGACGTTCAGGAGGCAACTAGTCTGAGTACGCTACCGAGCCTCCCCTCAAAAACAACCCAGCTCAACTAGGGTATTTTTTGGGTAATCGGAACAGGTCTGGGAAAAGTGGGG